GCTGGAGGCGGCAGGAGCCTCAGGGGCAGCGCAGCCCCTCCGCAGGGCTGTATTCCCCAATCAGGTGAAGTCTCACCGAAGGGAACTAATCACCCTCACCCCACAGAGCAGAGAGGGGCAGCTTGTGGACGCTGCTGCCCTTGAGCCCAGCAGGGGAGAGGAGAAGGCCGGGTCCCATCACAGCCTTCACCTCCCTTCTCTGTGGGAGGGAGCACAGCGCCGGGAACAGCACCCAAACATCCAGCACAGCTGCCCGGACTGATGTGGCTGCTCCCTGCTCCAGCCTTCACAGTCCACCTCCTGGAGCAACAAAGATCGGGAAAGCGGCAGCACTTAGTTTAAGTAGAGCAGGAAGAGAGCTCAAAAAGAAGAGCGCGGTCATTTGAGGTTAATAGAGGAAACCAGTTTCAAGGGGAGTGTGTTTCAGAGAGAAGCAGCTGTCAGCTCCTGCCCCTCACACTGGAGTTACAGCCCAGTCAGTTTTATGTTTTCTTCTTCAGCTCCTCAAATCTCCGAGAAAGATCATCAAAGTCAATGTCTTCAGAGGCAGAAGAGTTGGCGCCAGCAGATGCTGTGGGCAGCGTATCTGGCACAGATGGTAATTCAGGCAGCACAAAGTTATCAAAGGTATTAGGAGCTCCTGGTTTAGGAGAAGCTTCTGACTTGGGCCCAGGCCCTAATTAGAACAAGAGAAGTATCATTTCACCTCACCGTCATTGCCCTCTCACCAGGCCAGAGCCATGCCAAAGGCAGGCCGTTCTACCAAAAAGGCAGCACCGGTGTGTTTTTCTGAACAGGACCAGTGGTCACACACCTCCATCTGTGCAGGGACTCAATGGGAAAAAACACGTTTCAGGTTTATAGGGCTGCGAGGGGCTGCAGCCATGGTGGATCTGGACTGGTGACCCTGTCCTACAGCTGCACTAGACAGCACAAGACCCCCTCCACGGCCCATAGCCAGCTGCAGGTGGGCTGAGGCTCCCACGTGCCTGTGCTGGCTGGGCTGCACCATGGGGATTCAAAGTCCCGGTTTTCTCCACTCCAACACCTCCTCAGGACACTCGCAGGTATCACACGCTGTCACCCAGCTGTCAAACCGAAGCATACAGCCAGATCAGCATGCCCACAGGCCCATCTTCTTCAGCACACGTCACCAACACTCCCCAGAGGACTTCATCAGACCGTTAGAAATCCTTGCTGGAGCTGGCAAGGGCCTACTCACTCTAAAAACTCTCCACCCTTATCAACTGCCACAGATACCAAGTGCTTTCAAAACACACAGGGCAGAATCACACTGTACAAGGAGGAGAATTTTGTTATGATCCCATTACGATGCATGAAGCCTTTAGGCAGATGGAACAACAGGTAACAGCTATCTCTACTAGTCCTGCTCTGCTGCATGCAACCTCAACACCGGCATTAGCACAAACCTAGCTACCCTCTTAGTGCTTACTTCTTTCATTCTGTTGCTGCAAAACAATATTATTTATGCCACGTAAAAATGTATTATCACTTAGAGCTGTTGCTTTCTCATTTTATCCTGCAACATCCTACACATGGTCTAGTGAGACAGCTCAAGCTGGAGACCCAGTACTGACTCTGAAGTCAAGACTCTAGTTCTTGAGTTTTGCACTGGAAGTTTGGATCCTCCTGACTTCAAGAGGATACTCTCCGTTTCCATCAGAGCCCTCTCCAACCTCAAATCCTGCTCTCAAGACATGCCCAGTTCTACACATTATTCCTGTGCAGAAAGCTCCTCCCAGGGACACGAGTATCTCAGGCTAACCACAGCCCCAGACCACTCCAGGTCTCCCGTGCCTCTGGACATACTCACCAGCTGCCGGCACAGAACCGTCCTTGTCAGCATCAGGCTCATTGATCTGAAAAAGACTCTCAGTTACTCCAGCTCATTCTCCTGCCAGGCCAGACCCATGCAGCTGTGCAGGCACTGCTCACAGGCAACAGCAGCCACTCCCACGCAGAGCAGGGCATACCCCACCCCTCCCCAAGGCAGCCAGCAGCCCTGGCTTCCAGCACACTCAGAAGAATCTGCCTCTCTTCCCAAGGAAAGAAGTCAGTGCTTCAACTTTCCTCTCCCTCCCTGTCAATCAGAACAGCTTCACTGTCCATAGTCTGCAACTGGATACAGAGCAGGTCTAGAGCATTTATCAAGGATACAAGCGGGAGGAGAGTGCCCCCTTCACCCACGGAATCACAGCTACTGCTTCCTTTCCCTCATAAACAAAGGACAGGTCCTTGTAACCCACAGCAAGGTAGGAAATGAGCCCATCCCAGGCCTTGGTGAGGCTGTGACAAAGGCCCATGGCATGGTCAGTTGTGCTGATCTAACTCCTCATCTGCTGTGGGCTGCACTCAGTGACATCTATCCCCACCCAGCGAACAACTGTTGTATCCACCTGCACCTCCTGGCCTCAAAGGCTGCTGTGCAGCTCGTACCAGGTGTGAGCATACAGAGGTGCCTGGCTATGCTCACCCCTACTCAGGATACTGCAGAGACAAGAAGCATGTCACTGAAAGCAAAATGGGAGGCATGATAACCAATGGCAGCAACAAAAACATTGACGAGCACAGAAAGAGAAGACTCCAGCCTCGCTCTCCTCATCCCCAAGGACTAAGAAAAGTCTGGGAAAGGAAGTGTTTTTAAACATACATCATCTGCATCAGCCAAAGTTGTCATCCAGGCTAACTACAAATTAGTTCAAAAGCCACAATTAAACAGACTGAAGGTGATAAACCCTTCACATTGCAAAACAACCAGAATTTGTGAACTCTACTTGTTAACTGTTTACCACCATTTCAGCAGCACAGTAAAATCTTGGCTTCCCTCTGCAGCCAAAGCACAGCTGAATGAGAAACTTCTCACAAGTCATTCTCCCATCACATGCACCCTGTGACTCACCACATCCACAAGCAATGCCAAGCCCCACCCCAAAAGCTCCAAAGCTCAAGAGCAATGTGCTTAATGAACATTCCTGTGGCTACCCCTGCACTCTGCTCGAGGTTCCCTCTGCTGCCTGCCACGGCGACTCAGCTCAGGCACTTACAGACTCGTATGTCGGTGGGGCTGCCGGAATTGGTGGTGGATGGATGTTAGTGAAAGGCTGGTAGGTCCCCACGGGTAGGCCACTGAAGTTCTCCTGTACAGAGAGATTACGTCATACGCCAGACTGGGAGAGCAACCATGGGACACCATACGCCTACAGCTGCTACGGGAGCCAGCGAAAGCAGCAGTCTAAGATAAATGCAGGTAAACATCCAACCTGACACAGTCTATACTCACCAGCAAAAGATTTTCAAGTATTAAGTCAGGTGTAGTCACCTGGAGCAACCAGACCCAGCTAACAGGACTGTGGGTTATTCTAAAGAACCAGCATGACTAAACACTCCACCTTTCAAGGCATTAGCAGTACCAGGACAAAAAGGGTAACAGCCTGCATTAAGCACACCTGAGCCTTTTCTCCCGACTGCAGTATCACAGACCAGGAAGGCAGTCTCTGTCTCACTCAAGGCTTTGTATTACCCCTAGTTGTAACACAACAGTGCCCCAAAGACCTAGACCTGGCACAAGTCCTCAGCATATTTATGCCTCTGCCTTCAGCCAGCTGATGGTACTTGGCCCAGATTTTCCACAAGAAACACTGCAGCATTGCTGGGACCATATTAAGACTCCCAGCCTACACAGATACCCTCAAATGACTGAATTCGGAGAACAGTGCTCTTTTCAGCTCCCACCTTCCACCCTCACGACAAATCATCTCCAAGAGGCCTTGACCTGGTCCCCTCCCCTTGCAGGTCTGAAGGCAGGGTGCTTCCACACTTTTCTGTGCTGTTCCCAGCCCACAAAACTCACTTGATTTCCTCAACTGAATCTTGGCACACTACCAGCCTACCAAGCTCAAAGTGCAGCTCCCAGCCCTGGTCAAAAGCCTGGCAGTCTGAAGACTGTGTTAGGAGTTAAGTCTGGACTCCTCTGCTCCCTGAAGGCAAAGAGGGCTGGCTGGAGAACAGGGGTAGGAACCTCCACAGCCAAGAAGCAACATGAAGCATCAGATGCACTACCAACAATTTCCATCCCATGCAATCTCACACCGACATGATGGCCCTCTGACACAGCAAGCTATCAGATACAGACACTTCCCAGTCCGCAGGCACAGGTCTAAGCTCCGCAACCGGAGTCTTCCACAGAAAAAGGGAACGCTCAGAGCAAAGGCACTTACTGGTCCCTTTGGAGGCGGATAGGAGAAGGGCGGGTTTGGTGTCGGCATGGGCATAGGCATCATCACCGGCATGGGTACGACTCCATCATGACCAACCAGAGGTGCTGTAAATCCACCACCTCCTCCAGGGCCACCCTTCTTCACATCATCTGTGAATCCCACGTCAATCAGATCTGCCTCTCCACCTGCAGGGGCTTCAGCCTGGAGAGGGTGGAAGGACTCTGCTCACCAACACATCTCTATGCTGATCACAGCCCTCTGAACAGCATTAGACACCTCATTTGACACTGGACGAGGTGGGACAATGCAACAGGGACAGGACAGACAGCAGCTACACAGCAGTATTAACGGGAATCAGAAAGGGAAGCAGACTGTAGCATGACTAACTACGGCCCTGTGCCGCAGGGCTGTGGGAAGGAGCACAGACTGCGCTCCGCAAGGGCTGTCTAGAAGATACCAAAGCACAGTTACGACCGAGTTCGCTGCAGTGCCACAGCCCTGTGCTCTGAAAGCCCGCACAGCACTAACGGGACGTTTCAGCCACTGGAACCCAGGAGGGAGCTCCAGACGTGCAGTGCCTCACTCACCATCACCACTGAGTCAGGCTCATAGGGCACATTGTAGTTCTTGGCAATCTCAATGAGGTATCTCTCCACCAGGATCTTGGGCGGTGCCTCCACGCTTAACTTGTGCATCAGCTGGAACACAAGGGTGCCGAGACACTCAGCGGGACCAGGGCAGAGCAGCACAGCGGAGCTCCACCCCAGCCAGGCCGCCTGCTGTGGGAAGCACTGTGCAGCACTGCTGGAAAGGAGGCTGCTGGCAACCACCGGCCCGGACTCCACGTGCTCTGCTCCTCTCCATCCACAGGCCTTGCCTGCCAGGGACCTCAGCACCATACTCCCAGGCAGGCCGGCCCCCAGCAGCACAGCTGGCCCATCCCACTCTGCAGCGAGCCACAGGCCACAGAAAAAAGGGGCAGAATGCACGGCAGGCACATCTGTTTTGCCAGCTCCAGCTCTTCCATCAGTTCCTTACCCTGTCATTGACTGTCCCGATCTGGTTTGTCCGGCACAGCTTCCCATACTCCTTGCTGTACTTGGCACACAGCTGGTCAGCAACCTGCAGCACGACAGAAACTCTGGGAACAGGCCGCACATCTGCTGTAGCCCCTACAGCTGCCCACTCCCCCTCCTCAGATCGCCCTCATTTCTGCCACTGAGAGCCCCAGCTACCCCTGATGCTCTAGGGACACCTACACCGGCAGGTCCATCTGCAGAGCCCATAAAAACATGTCCTCTGCTTTAATGACACAGAGTCCCAGAAAAAGGCTTCCGCCAGTTTCTGGCAGCATCACCTCCACCCTGTGTGTGTAACACCCCTCAAATGACCCTACTCACAATCTTCAACTCAGCCACTTCTGACTGGAGTCGTGGTGCAGCCCAAATCAGTGTCGATACTGCTTCTGCCAGGCCAGAGTCCAGCTCCCTAAGGACAACAGAAGACAATCCCATCTCCACACCAAGCACCTCATCTTTGCTGCCCTCAATCCGCTTAGCCTCAAAGTCCCCATCCTCCAGGCTGAGCTCCAGAGTCTTCCCTGTCTGGGGAAGAAAAGGCCTCTGGAAGCCCTAGCACACAGAGACAAACACAGGTGCCCTTCCGTACCCCAGGCCTGCCCCCAGCAGTACCCTTCCCTCAGCCCAAGGGGGGCCTGGACCCTCTCCCAAAGCATACCCTCTAGGCCAGAGCTTACTTCATGGACTGAATCAAGCCAAAGCGGGCTAGCAGCAGATCGCAGTACAGCTCCAGGATCTCCATGGCCTCCACAAGGTAATCTTCACGGATGATGTGCTCCACGCGAATCCTGGCACGCTCATCTTTTCCGGCTGCCAGATAATCTGCAATCTCCTTCCTTGCCTTCTGGGCCAACTCAGCTACAGCACATATCCCCAATGCCAGTCACTGTGCTGGCAGGGGCTGCTGCCTCCACACCCACCCAGTCCCCACCACACACGAAGCCATCACGAGCTCATCTCTCTCCTTCACCGAGCCTCTGCAGTGCAAGACACTCAGCCACGGCCTGGTGGAGCCCTTGTGTCTAGGTCCTAGCACACTAACCCACAGGAGAAAGGAGAGCGGGCTTTTAGCTGCTAGAAACACTCCTACACCTTTGGTTTCCCTGCAGAGTCAATGAGAACCATGGACCTTACCTGTGCCTGTGCAGGGCAGGACAGCACAGGTGGGGAGAGCCTCCCACAGCACCCAGGAAGCTCCCCACTACACTGTGGGCACAGAAGGCCCAGGAAAGGGCCCCCTGGGGCAAACTGGCACGTCCCTCCACACACAGCCCACAGCTGCCACCACACGCACCCCATAAATTGCACTCCGACACCTGCCAGGGAGGTGGACAGAGGCCACGTCATGGCCAACCTGCTCCCTGGGTACTTGCACACCGGGGCAGGCTTCAAGGCCTGGGTCCAGCCAGGACGAGCAAAAGGCTACTCCATGCTCGGACAATATCCTGACTCCAGAAAAATCTTCTCCTCAAGTCTCCTGAGCCCCAAAAGCATCCTGGGTCACACCTGTCTCCTCAAATACTCACTCTTCTTCTTCTCCAGCAGTTTGAGGCGGTTGATGACAAGGCGCAGGTTGACTCGCAAGCGCTCGGCCTTGAACCCGGAGCCCAACATGATAAACACTTTCTGTGGGAGAAGAGGGGAAGCTCATTGGAACCAAGAGCTGTTGGTCAGGAGGAAGACACCAGTCACTTTTACTGGGGATGGGGGGAACAGGCACAGGCCTGCTATTCCTGAATCTGGTTATTTACAAATGACTGGACCTACAGCACTCACCACTACCATTCCCACTTTACAACCCTGCACCCAACCAAGGCCAACAGTGAATAGAAGCTTCCTGGGTATTTCCATTCTGACAGACTGAATCCTGACCCCAGAAAGACCTAAGGTGATCAAAACCTCCATAAACAGGAAAAGGGTCGGGAACTATACCCCAAAAAAAGAAGTTAAAGGCCTGGGTCTATTTAATCTAGGTAAGTGACTCTAGTCACTGATGTGAATGCTAGACCACAGTAAAGTTTTAAGAACAGCGGACAAACATCTACCAGCAGAGGCCTAGGAAAACATAACTCTGCTGTCACACGTATATCTGTTCAGATGGTATTTTGAGGTTCCATTCAGCCCTAGATTTCTAAGAAGCTGAAGGGGAAAAACCCCTCAGATTTCACAATAAGCAGCATAACTGCTAGAAGGCAGGCTTCCACTCCCTCACTTCAAAAGGTGAGGGAAGTAAACCAATGCCTCAAGATGCCATCTGCGACAACTATCGCATAGCCAAATCCTCTGACAAAACCACATTTTTAAAGAAACATGAAAGTCAAGTGCAAGAACCAAGCCAACCTCTCCCCTATTAACATGTGAGTTGTAAGACAGCTGTATCATTAACGCCAGAAGTGTACAAACCAAGGTTGTAACAATCCTGTCATCAGAAGGAGGGCGGCCATTCCATATTCCTTCCACTCTTCCTACTTACCGAACACATGCTCTGGCACTTCTCCAGTCTCTCAAGGGCCAGTTCAACTCACTAGCTCTACAGAAAACTAGCTCAGAAAACATTTTTTTACGGCATTTTGTTATGCCAAGAACTGTTCATCAAAAAATGCTCCCTTAAGAGCTCTCACACAGAAGCACCTTGGCTTGTACCTGAAGGACACATTGGAGCAGGCTTTTGGATAGTGATAGTATTTTGTGTATAACAAGTGGTTTACGTAATATCCATTACTACCTAGAGCACAGCCAGTTTATTTAGCTGATCTAGTCACACATCAATGCAGTTATTTCAAAGATGCAAAGAACCAACCAAGCTCAAAAACCACTGCTACAGAGATATATTTGCATGATGTGTGATGCCACAAAAAGTAACCTTTGCCCTTCTGTAAGCAGAACACACCTCTACATTAAAACAGCTTTATAGTGCTGCAACAAACAGTCTCAGTGTGAGTTGTAACATCTCTGTAAAAGTACCTACTAAATAACGATTCTGATTAACAACAACCCGTTTTAACAAATTAATTCCAAGCACAGCCATTGAGCACCAGC